CGGGACAGTCGTGGGGACAGTGGGACAGCGGTGGGAACGGTAGTGGTGGGGACAGTGGTGATGGCGGTGGTGATGACGGTGGCAGCACAGTAGTACAGTGGGGAGAGTACTGGGAAGTGTGGGACAGTGGTGGGGACAGTGGGGACAGTGGGACAGCACAGTGTGGGGAAAGTGGGGAAAGTGGGACCGAGGTGGGACAATGGTGGCGAGAGTGGGGACAGTGAGACACTGGTAGGGGCACTGAGCGGGAACAGTAGTGGGTACAGTGTGGACAGTGGGCCAGTGGTGCGGACTGTGGGACAGTGGTGGGAACGGTGGTGGTGGGGACACTGGAATGGGGACAGTGGGAATGTAGTGGGGACAGTGGGACAGTGGTGGTGGGGACAGTGGTAAGGGCGGTGGCGAGGACGGTGGTGGGACAGTGGGACAGCGGTACAGTGAGGACAGTGTCGGAGACAGTGGTGGGAACAGTGGGGCAGCTCAGTGGGACAGCGGCCGGGGCGGCGGGGACAGTGGGTCAGTGGAACAGTGGTGGAAACGGTGGGGACAGAGGGTGGGGACCGTGGGGGAAGTGGGGAGAGTAGGACCGTGGTGGGACAATGGTGGCGAGAGTGGGGACAGTGAGACACTGGTGGGGGGACTGCTGGGGACAGCGGGAACAATGGTGGGAACAGTGGGGACAGTGGGACAGTGGTGGGGACGGTGGTGGTGGGGACAGAGGTGTGGGGACAGTGGGAAAGTGGTGGGGACAGTGGGACAGTGGTGGTGGGGACAGTGGTGAGGGCGCTGGCGAGGACGGTGGTGGGACAGAGGTACAGTGAGGACAGTGGTGGGGACAGTGGGGACAGTGGTGGGACCAGTGGGGCAGCTCAGTGGGACAGCGGCGGGGACAGTGGAACAGTGGGAACATTGGCGACAGTGGGGCAGTGGTGGGGACCGTGGGGGAAGTGGGGAGAGTGGGACCATGGTGGGAAAAGTGGTGGGGACAGTGGGAACAGTGCGACAGTGGTGGGGGCACTGATGGGGACAGTGGGGACGGTGGTGGGAACAGTGGGGACTGTCGACAGTGGTGGTGGGGACAGTGGTGCTGGGGACATCAGTCGGGGATCTGGTGCGGACGGTGGTGGGGACCCGGGAATCGTTTGCCGGCGGTGGGTGGGGGGGGGTTCGAACCGGTAGTGACCCCCCCTGGTTTTCCAGGGGGGGGGGGTTCGAACCAGTAGTGACCACCCGCCCCCGGTCTTCCAAGGGGGGGGGGGGGAAGGAAGGGTTCGAACCGGTAGTGACCCCCCCCGATTTTCTGGAGAGGGGGGGGCGGGAGGGGGGTTTGGGTGGGGGGTGCGTGGGGGAAGGGGGAGAAGGGGGTGGGGTCCCAGCAGGGAGGAGAGGCATTTTCGAAGGGGGGGGGGCACCCCCGGGTTCCGGAGGAAGAAGGGGGGTATTTTCCACAGTAGAGCGGCGGTGGACCACGCTCTCTCCAAACATCAGATCGGCGGATGTCTGGGTTGGCGCTGCGCGTGCGGCGTGCACCGAGCTGGCCTGGCTTATCTCGCGGTTGGCGCACACGCCCCGCAGGAACCGCAGGGCCGAGCGCCTGTGTGGAGCCCTGGAGGCGGTCGCCTCGAGGGCGCGGTTCCAGGAGCAGAAGCGGCGCCGAGCGGCAGTGGTCCTGCAGGCCTTCGCCCGGCGGCGCGGCGGCGCGCCGCCGACGCCGCCGCCGCCGCCGCCGCCGCCGACGACGACGACGACGACGACGACGACGACGACGCCGCCGCCGCCGCCGCCGCCGACGACGACGACGACGACGACGACGACGGCGACGACGGACGACGGCCGACGGACGACGGCGACGACGCAGTGGTTCTGCAGGCCTTCGCCCGGGGCGCGGCGGCGCGCCGCCTCGCTCACGCCTGGCGCCGCCGGGCGGCCCAGGCCCAGCTCGCGGCGGTGTGGCAGCGCTTCCGAGCGCGGCGGCAGCTGCTGGAGGCGCGGGGCGCGGCGGTGGCGAGGAGCCAGGAGCCCAGACCTCTGACGTCGCGAGAAACGCACGACGAAGGTTTTTGACGATTCTCCTCCTCTGGAGGCCCTCGCCGGGCCTCGGGAGCGTCAAAAAATGACTCGGGATGGAAAACAGGCCCCGGGGACGGTCTCCAGGCTTCGGGGGGCCGACGTCGTGAGTGTCTCACGACGCCGGGGGTCTGGGAGGGAGCAAGGGCACACGCAGACGCAATCCCTCGTTGATCCCCCGGAAAACGCGGGAAGTGTGTGGGGCGGGAAGACGAAAAAACCCAGAGAATGTGGGACAATCTGGGGAGTCCTGGGATTTGTGCGTGTGCGTGTGTGTGTGTGTGTGTGTGTGTGTGTGTGTGTGTGTGTGTGTGTGTGTGTGTGTGTGTGTGTGTGTGTGTGTGTGTGTGTGTTGTGTGTGTATGTGTGTGTGTGTATGTGTGCGTGTGCGTGTGCGTGTGCGTGTGCGTGTGCGCGTGTGTGTGTGTGTGTGTGTGTGTGTGTGTGTGTGTGTTGATCTGTGTGTCCCTGGGCCCTATTAAGGAGAGACGGCGAGCTGTGGCGCGGGGCGCTTGAGACCGCGCTGGCGCGCCTGCTCCTCCGGGAGATGAAGGACCGGACGCGCGCGGCGGTCGTGATCGCGGCGCGCGCGAGGGGCATGCTGGCCCGGAAACGCATGCGCTTGATGCTGATCCACAGGCGTCGGCTCCGCGTGCTCAGAGGAGGAGAAGGTACCCCTACTGCTGCCCCTTCCCTCGTTTATTTCCCTTTTTTGGGCCTCTCCTGGGAGACCCTCGTCGCCACCGCTGGATTCGCTTCGAAGCCCTGGTCAGAAAGCGCCCCGGGAGAGGTCAGGGAGTACAGTCGGGGCCCCGAAGAAGGAAGCCTTTTGGCTGGGGAGGGGCTCCGCGTTCCTTAAGTGTTTCACAGCTTGCCTCAGGCTTTCCTTCTGTTTTCGATGGGGAATCGAAGCTTAACTTGTGGAAAAAAGGGGCCTATCCTTATTTAGGGTTCCTTAGGTCAACGCCCCGACTGCAGCGTCATCGGGACCCTTTGGTTTCCCCACGTGCGGTAGGTTCGTGGGGCGTTGGCGCGCCCGCGACGCCTTGCGAAGAGATGGTGTTCAAGGGTGAGCTCTGCGCCCCGGCGGCACCCGGGGCGCGCGGGAACCCCGGCACGATAGAGTTAAGTCGGGCCTGCCCCTCTACTGGAGGAATATTCACAAGTAGTCAAAAAATAGTCAGGGGATTATTTGTTCTTAAACCATTTTGGAGCATGTTTGGGGTATATTTTGTTTTTCGTCGAAAATCGCCCTGTGGGGGGGCACGCCCGACTGAATGATAGAACGACGCGGACGCACCGAGGGACACCGTAATGCCATAGGACCCGGCGGAATTCATCCAGGGCTGAACGATCGACGCGGTGTCAGAATCCTTTGCGCGCGCCGACGCTGCACGAACCTACCGTAAGAGTGACCCTTCGCCGGAGTGACCTTTTGGTCGGGCCCCACGGGGGTCCCCCAGCCCTCGCTAGCGCGACTGGATTCGGCTTCCCCGCAGCACCCTGCAGCTGCGCAGCCAAAGGTGCCACTCTTGCCCAGGGTCAAGCCCAGAGATCCGGTGTCGTGATTTTTTCAATGCGGGGTCCCTGGAAGTCTCGACCCATTCCCCAGGACCGGTTTCTCATCGTGAGCCGTTTCTTGACACTCCCAGGGCCCGGCGAGGGCCCCTAGAGGCCGAACCTTGCGAACAAAAACCTCCGCCCTGATTTTTTCAATGTGTTGGATCTCTGGGGGCCTTGCGTGCAGCCGCAGGCGGGCCTTCGAGCGCCTCAAGCCCCTCCGGTGCATCTGGTCCCGCAGGAAGGCGCAGGCCCTCGTGCTGCGCCTGCACGAGGAGCAGCGCGGCCGCAGCCACAGGGAGGCGTGGCACGCGGCCGTGCGGACCCTGAAGCTGCGCCTCCTGCTGGACTTCAAGGTCATCAACAGGATCGGCGGCGCGCACCCGGGGGTGGCGCGAGGAGGAGGAGGAGGAGGAGGAGGAGGGAGGAGGAGGAGGAGGAGGACCAGGGGGTGGCGCCAGTGGGGGGGGGGGCTCTCAGACGCCAGGGGGCTTCTTGGAAGCCAGGGGCCTCCTTCGAAGGCCTCGGGGGCTTCCAAGAAGGCCTCTCAGAAGCTCCAGGCGCTCCTGACGAGCCCCCCCTGCCTTCTAAGGCGCGCCTCCTCCTCCCTCCTCCTCCTCACTCCTCCTCCTCCTCCTCCTCCTCCTCCTCCTCCTTCCTCTCCTCCTCACTCCTCCTCCTCTCCTCCTCCTCCTCCTCCTCCGCTTCCTTTTTCTCCGCCTGCAGGAGGGAGTCCAGCGCGCTGGCGGTGATCGCCGGGCACATCTCCGCGATGTACGACCGGCGGAGGCCCAAGGTGATGCAGGTCTTGGGAGTGGTCAAGAGAGCGGTGGTAACTGGGGGGGGGATATCATGGCGGGGGGGGGGGGCCATGATATCTCCCTGGATCTCATGGCGACTGCTCTTATTTCAATACGTCCCCGACCCCCCTTCTGGACGCCCCCGAAGGTCATCCAGCACCTGAACCGCCTGCGCGTGGAGCAGGAGGACCGACGCCACAACATCCAGCAGCGGGCGGTCCTCGGCCGAGGAGCAACGTCAGGAACGAGGCTCGAGGTTTTCTGGTATTGGAGAGGCCTGACGGCCGGTGCCGCCGACCCTGATCGAAATCCTAGGAGTGGGGGGAGGAAGCGGAGGAGGAGGAGGAGGAGGAGGAGGAGGAGGAGAAGGAGGAGGAGCAGGCGGAGGAGGAGGAGGTGATTCTCGCTCGGCGGTTTTTCGGCTTCGGGTTGCTCTCCAGCAGCGGCGCCTCGCCGAGAGCGTTCCGCGGGTGCCTGGAGCGCCCCGGCCGGCCACGGGAGGGCCAAGTCTTGTGACCCGAAAGCCACAAGGCTGAGGAGGGAAAGGTGCCGATCTCTCTCCCCTCCCCTCCC